AATATAATCATAGTCTATATATGAAAGGTATAAATATACTAAATATATCTGACTTAATTAGGCTAATAGATTTAAAATGGATGCGAGGCGTGGCGCTCCACTCCGCAAACATGTTAATGGAAAGGAAACCGAGAACCTAGATGACAAAACGCACATCCTTGCTTTATTTTACAAAATCACAAATGTTTTGTTTTTATTGTGAGTGTGAAAAAATAAAAGTCAACACTTTGCGGTATCGAATTATTTCTTACTCTTATCTGTATGACCAAAAAGTATTTATGTTTCAGCTGTTTAATCGCGCCGGCGCCTCGCACGCGCACACGCAGAAACGTATTCTAGCAATTCAAACATCGCAGACTGTTCATTATGAAAATATAATACAGTCAATCAAACATATAAAAGATTACACTGGTCAATTTAAATAGTCCGTGGTATAACTGTTTCAACTCTGCTGTTGATGATTTTTTCCGCACGTTAAGTAGGCTACAAAGCCTAAGTCTACATTATAAATAATAGTTAATCATTAAAATACATTGCGAATATGGAAACATTTGGATTTGTGCCAAATTAGAGAGGTACGTGAGCCCAACGCCTGGTACTTTCACTTTTGCTGGTAGTTTCGCTTGGTTTTGTTTTTTTGTTTTTTTTTAAAGTCTCTTATGCTCATCAAGGCTGCATTTATTTGATCAAAAATACAGAAAAAAACAGTAATCTTGAAAAATCCTTAGTCGAGGACAGCCCTAGTAGCTATATGGGCGCTCAGTTTTTCTTGTTGTTCAATACATCTGGCCAAATTATCATGATATAAAAGATGAGCTGGTATGCACTGGGTATTTAAAACATACAAAAGTGTATTGGCTACAACTAGACGGCAAATGCTAAGACTCTTCTCCGCTCTACATTACAAAACATTAGCCTTTATAGACAGTGTTACTTGAGTAAAGAAAACGCTGTACTTAATCAAACATCAGTTCTTGCATTGCGAAAAAGTAGTCTGTCTTCAAACTGCGCGTTTCATTCTGAATGGAGGCGGGTGGAGTTATGAGTTTTGACTGACAATTTGAGTATCCAATGGCGTTTAGAGGTATAGTTACAAGTTCTTTTGAATGCTTTTCATTGGTTAAATATTTGTAAAACCCACAAAGAGACAATAACGATGACCAATAGCACTGATTTAAAATAATAATAACGAAATATAATTAAAATAGGAAGTTTTTAATAATTTTCCACGGCACACCAGACAACCTGTCACGGCACAGTGGTTGGGAAGCACTGATTTAAAGAATGGTAAGCATGGGCAACATATTAAATAGTTAGTCATAACCTCCGACTAATGATCAGACTGGTGAGTTTGTGATGAATTGCGAATAGCAAAAATGCATCATAGACAAATGTTTGAAAAACAGCTGGTGACTCTGGTGAGATAGAATTTGCAAGATAATGTATATATAGCAATAATATATGTATGTGTGTTTTATACATTTTTCCAGTACCGATAGCAGAACCGTTAACGTCAGAGCTTATCGATACTCCGGTCTTTCAGAATTTAGCCCCGGGACCGATTAAATACCGAGTTTCGGTACCCATCCCTACTAATGAATGAGTAAATATAAAGTAAAGAGTTAAATAGTATAATCAAATGTCAGAATAATAACAATTAGAAATGGACAAACAACCAATTTGCATTTCAACTTAAATTCAAGGTCATAATAAAATGGAGTCAGATTTGAATTTAACCTAAATTTAATAACTTTGCACACTGAAAAGACTGTAAGGATGAAAGAAACTCAGATACTTTGATCTCCTGAGAAACAGACAATACAAACATACACGGGCATCTTCGAGACACCCCACAAGTGGAGGTGCAGGAAACACCTCTCTCACATATGCATCAGTTCCTTTTTATCCCCTTCCTTCCCCTTACCCATCCTCCCTCCACTTGGTTCACTCAGAATGGTCAATAGTATAATGTTCTACATGAATGCAAATAATATTTACAGTCATATTTGGTATCATTTGAATAGTCTCAGGGCGAGTGGTACAATGGTCTCAATCTTACAAAAGTAGACTAAAAGATAATACAGATCCTAAGAGTTAAGAGATATTTTGATTACTGTAGAGGGTGTGTCATTCCATGCAAATTATCTTCTGTTCCCATTGAGGTGTAAACCACCCAGGTCTGGTACCTGGGTTAATGCAAATTCCAATTGTTTGTACATGCCTTCATTTAGGGGATGTTTTATCTTGGTTGTGTATTTAAAGGATTGCAGCAAAAGGGTCGGCTATTCTGCAGCCAGAATGAGCTGTATTTTTCTAAAAGTCAGGTATGAATCTTACTCTTAGATTCATCTTTGAGAATTTGATGTTTTGTATTGATTTGATATTTTTGAATTGGCCATGTAATTGGCATAATACATATTTACCCGACTGATAATAAATTGTTACATTTGATTTTATTCTGTTTTATGCTGTAATTATTGACTTTAGTAGATTACGTTGTATCCTTGTCACCGCATTTCCTGCGTCAGGTTAGTAACGGACTAAAATTCAGTTGAGATGGAGCATAGGGCTAGAGGTCGACCGATATGGGTTTTTAACTGGCCGATGCCGATATTTAGAAATCAGGGCAGCCGATGGCCGATATATGATGCCGATTTTTTTTGGCCGATATATTTGGCCGATTTTCTTTTTTTTCCCATTCATTTCATAAAAGTGAGTTTGAGCAAATGATTATTGCAGGTTACAAGATAGCAATAGTAGCAGTAGCCCAATTTAGAGTAATAATACATGGCTCAAAACTTAAGCACCTTCTCAAAACAGTTCTGAAGGATGCTTTTTGTTTATGTTTGCTGACAGACGCCAGTGTTTCCCACAGACTGCAAATGAATTCTCTGACAGTAGGAGGCACTTTGGGAGCTGGAGATATAGCGGTTTCCCCGGTAACGGCTGTAATCAAATCAGCGCTGCACTCACAAACGCTACTTTATCAGGCATTACAGGAAAGACTAAATTAAATTACACATTTAGAAATATTTTAACTAATCTAGGGCTGTAACTAATGATTATTTTGGTAATCAAGTAACCTACTGATTATTTTGACAACTGAGTAATCTGATATTTTAATAACAAACAGACCTAAGTGAAAACCAGGCTTTAGTATGACTATTTATATTATTGAACAACACTGTTAAAATACATAATGTAATATGCCTATACATAATATGAACATAACCAACTTAAGTACATTATGTATTAAAACAAATACCTGCAGAGGGCGCCAACGGCCTGGTGACGTTACAGCATGATTAAACGTTGTTTAAATCCATTTAATTTTAATATTTGACCACATGTAGAAACATTTATTTTGAAATTGCGATGGCATATTTAGACATAGGTTGATGTATTCTCCTGTGTTGGCAAAGGTTTATAAATGATTTACATTACAAATCTAGTGAGATAATGCACACTGTTTTTCCAGATGAACATTAAGCAATTTAAATTCAAGGCATATGCAGAGGAAGAGTTTAGCCCCTTTCACACATACAGTACTGGTAAATTACCGGTAAATTATCATTAAGAGATCATGTGAGAACAGGACCTTTTAAAAAATCACGGTAAATTTGTTCTGGCAATCATATCGTTTTATGGAGATGACATGATTACTCTGAGCTGTTTACAAACCTCTGCTGCTTTTTAATTAATTATTCTATGTAAATATGCACTAGATGGACATCTTTGACCATTGCGCCTTGCAGCTTTTTGTCGCGCTTCTCCATTCATCAGGCCTGTGACTCTGCAATTGGATACTATTATCTCGTATTTATAAGAGCAAAACATTCTGATTGGCTAGTAATGTTAGTTTAGTTGAGAGTGAAAGCTGTGCTCTCCTCTCATACCATTGGTAGGCGAACTCATGTGACATCAAGTGATATCAATCAAGATTTGTTTGTTTTTTTTTTGTTTTTTTTAATGTAGGACTATTTTTTTTTCACAGCCAAACGCTGCACGCCGGAGATCTGGCACGGTGCCGGAGAACTTTAAGCCCTATGAATATGATAACTTTCCGTTATTAATTCTAGTAGTGTAAAACGTAATTCCGCTTTCGAAACAGTCTGTTTTGCCATTAAGTGAAGCTGTGTGTGAACAAGCCGCGGCTGCAGAATGTGAGCTGCTCCGTCTCTCACGCAGTCTCAGAAGGAGTTCCGTAACAACACTTAGCTGCCCGCCGGTGCGTCTGCCTATAAATCGGCCTAATTTGCAGCACAATCGGCCAATGCAGATTAATTGAAAAATGCCAAAAATCGGCCGATCAATCGGTCGATCTCTACATGGGGCACACCAACTGTATCTTTAGAGATCCGGCTAACACTTGGTATTAGCTCAAGTGTACCTACATTGTAAGGGCTTATAGGGAATTTCCGTTTAGGTCAACTGGATGTTGTTCGACCAACCTAAATAGGGTGAGCCATGACCTCTGTTTATTGTAATGTTACTCTAAGTGTACATGGGAAACCATGGCATGACCATACCAAAGCTACTATCAGGTAAAGTAATGTTGGTCGGCTTATATCTATAGTAGTGGTCGTGACCTCTGACTAGAAATAATGTTGCTTTATTCAAGTGTATACAAATCTATGGGGGCTAAACAAAAGTACTTTTAGAATGAGCAAGCATAGGAGCGGCCGTCTAAAGTATTAGCCAATGACCTCTGTCTAAACCCAAAACTGACGAGAATGTGACCATAAGATACGCTAACGGCTGAAGCGATATCTTTGAGCGACATGAGCACCCGAATGAATGAGTACAATAATATTAAATAATAAATAGAATAATCAGATGTTTAGATAAATTACCCTATAAATGATCAATAATAATTGGCATCCTAACTCAAATGCGAGGTCATAATAAAATGGAGTGAGATTACAATTTAACTTACACTGAATAACTCTGCGCGCTGAAAAGAACGAACACGCAAGAAATCTTCAGCCATCACTGGATACCTTCCTTGGGCCAAGTGCGTGGAACTTACAAGACCTAACGCGCAGGAAACCATCCACCATCGGATACCTCCGTTGGGCCAATTCGTGGACCTTACAGTTCCATTAAATTTTAATAATCAAAAGCATCTCAAATTAATTTGTAACTTTTATTAATTAACTTTTATTTTGCCGGGATGCTGTGAAGACCTTCAAGTTTCTGTTTGTAGCTTTTGATATGACGATAGTTTTTCTCAAAAGAAACGGTAAAATGCTCATGTAGTGACTTTCAGAGCAGTTCTGGAGATCATGTTCATGTGTTCATGTGCTCATATATTGAGGCGGCAGAGGCTGAAAACACCGCGAGCATCACGCTCGCTTCAGTGTGTGTAGTAAATGAAACTGCACGTCTGTGCCATAAATTCATACAGAGACATGAAGAACATGCAGGATTCATATTTAAATAGTATTTTTGCGGCTTAATATTCACAGGCACTAGTCCATATCATGTTTTGATTTAAGTGTACTTACCTACTTTTGATTTATCCATCCAAAAATATACAGTAAAATAAATTTTTATGACTAGATTTCGTGATTTTGTCTGCGTTTTCCACATCGTGGAAATCATAGAGCCCTATAATTATCTGATTACTCTATTAATCGTCAGAACAATCGACAGATTACTCGATTCCCAAAATAATCGTTAGTGACAGCCCTACTTCTATGATACGAAATTCATGTAAACAGTCAGTTATGTTTTCAGAACAGGACAAAACCTCTGATACGTCGAAATAGATCTGTGCATTAGCGTGAATGCAGCCTAGTATAGCTGCCACTGTCTATGATCTCATCAGCAATAATCAAAAAGCAATATGCTGAGGAAAAAAGAAAAACCCAACTATGATTGTCTGTAAACTTTTGGATATTTATAGCAATCTCAGATACTGAAAGTACTTTTTGTTTATCAGTTGCAATTGTCTTTTTCCCCCTTTAATTTTTTTTATATTTGCTTGTATGTTTTGAAGCTATATTTATTTGGTTAAGTTCTTAATTGTTTTGAGATTTATTATTAATTTTTAATAATTTTTAAAAGTAGCCTGCTTTTATGATTTAATAAAAATGATAATGCTGAGGAATCTACACACACATCTTATCTTATCTTTCCCCCCCTTTATTACTTTATATTTGCTTGTATGTTTGAAAGCTATATTGACTTTTTAAAATTCTTAACAATAATCAATTAATTAATTAATTATTAATATATTAATTAACTATTTAACGTAATTACTTTAAAAAGTAGCCTGCTTATATAATTTAATAAAAATGCACAAAATAAATTTGATATAATCGTGATGCATTGTGATATCGAATCAAATCGTTGACATGATAATCGTAATCGAATCGTGAAACCAGAGTCGATTCACACCCCTACTTATTACATGGCTACTTGCCACATACATAAACAAATACAAAATATTGATTTGAACTGATTTTAGCTCTTTAAAAACAAAGATTCTGCATAGAAAATACATACAAACAGCTTTGAGCCTAGACTTCAGACAAAACAAATATTTAAGGCATAATATGCAGCACAGCCTTCCACCACATAAACACGAGGACATAAAATGTTACTTCAAAAAAATGCATTTTAAAACCATACCTGTTTATTATCTTAAATCCATTACAGCAGGGCTCCAGACTGCGACCATTTTTTCTGCTGGTGCGAGTAAATTTTGTGAGCGGTCGCACTGGCGTGACCACCGCGTTCTTCAACTCGAGTTGCAATTTCTGTTGCATATGAGAAACATCAAACTGCAAATTAAACAAAAGCGTTAACAAAATCCCGCTACTCATTTGAGCTGCGCAACGTGGACCGTTTATCAGCTCAGACCGCGCGACGCAAACAAACTGGTCCGAGCTCAGAACAGCTTTACTCGGGAACCAAAGTAATATGATTTCGCGACACTGTTACTGCACAGTGCTGTGAGATCCAGTAAGAAGTGTTTGAATTCACCGCAGAATGAGTAAAGATTGCTGTGAGATCTAGTGAGTAGCATTCAAATTCTGCACAGAAATCGGTTATAAACGGATCAAACGGCGCTGATGTAGAAAACCAGAAGCAGTAACGCTAACTATAACCATGGTGTTGTGGCAGAAATAGTCGAATGTTATTACATTATTCATTTCAGGTTTGTACAGCCTTTTGAGAGAGAAATTCAAGCAATTTTCAATGACTGACAAGCATTTCACACAACTGTTTTCAGCACTTTAAAGCTCCTAAATTTAAATGTTATTTTCAATGGGATGACCAAAATATACTGTGGTGAACAAACACTTATGTAAAATTAAAAAATACACCAAATCACCATTATAACCTGTAGATGGCAGCAGAGGAGCACTTATAAGCTTATTAGTCATTCATTTATACTTTTTCATTGATATTTTGAAATTATCACTTAAGTTGTTGGTGAGTTTCATATAAGATTAAATGGTACATTTATTAAGAGTACAATATATACCTTTTCTACATAAAAATTATATTTTGCATGTTACTGTTGCTAAACCTGACATGATGAAAAGAGATGGTCTTTATCCCTCCTGGGGTGGTGCCGCTCTTCTGTCTAGAAATATGGCACATAGTCTTAAGAGTTTGTACTTGACTAACTGGGGCCCAGGTCAGGAAGCAGACAGACTGGCTAAACCGACCGTCTGCTAGTCGCCTCACATCACAGAAATGAGTTAATTCTCAGCACATAGAGATTCTTTCACCTAGATATCATACTATAGACACTGTGTCTGTTCCCCGAACTAGAAAATACAAAAAAACGTCCAAAGAGACTGTGTCTGTTCCTCGAACTAGAAAATACAAAAAATGTCCAAACCAATTTAAGAGTAACAATTTAATTGATGTTCAACAAATAAAAAATGTATATAATACAGAGAAACAATTTATAACGCTTGGCTTATTGAATATCAGGTCCCTATCTACGAAAGAGCTTTTTGTAAATGATATGATCACTGATCATTGCCTAGATGTGCCCTGTTTGACAGAAACCTGGCTAAAACCAGGTGATTGCATTATTTTAAACAAGTCTACCCCATATGATTACTTTTATAAACATGAGCCGCGTCCAAAAGGTAAAGGGGGAGGTGTTGCTTCAATTTATAACAACATTTTCAGTATTTCTCAGAGGGCGGGCTTCAAGTATAATTCATTTGAAGTAATGGTGCTTCATATAACATTATCCAAAGAAACAAGTGTAAATGATAAATCACCTGTGATGTTTGTACTGGCTACTGTATACAGGCCACCAGGGCACCATACAGACTTTTTTAAAGAATTTGCTGATTTTCTATCCGAGTTAGTGCTAGCTGCAGGTTAGCATTTTAATTGTTGGTGATTTTATATCCATGTTGATAATGATAAAAATGTATTGGGATCAGCATTTCTAGACATTCTGAGCTCTACTGGGGTTAGACAACACGTGTCAGGTCCTACTCATTGTCGAAATCATACTCTAGATTTAATACTGTCACATGGAATTGATGTTAACAGTGTTGAAATTCTGCAGCAAAGCTATGACTAGGGCTGGGACAATAAATCGATGCATCGCAAATCGAGAAATGATTCTGCATCGATTCTGAGATTTTCTGAAGGCATCGCGATTCTCTCTTGAATCGATTCTGAGCTTAGTTTTTAACAGCAGATGGCACTGCGTGCTTTAGAAATAGCCGTATTCTGCTTGCTTCCAGTTCCTTACACATGCACCACTTGAACCTAAAATAATCATTCATAAAGGTCGAAAAGGTTGAAGCGAATTACAAGGATGTTCACAGTGGGCTGTGTTTACATTAATCTCGCATCATAAAAGCCGATGTGCAAGTACATTTAAACACTTACATTACTCAGCCGAACGCACAAGCGCTCGTCTTCGTGACCATTTGAGTGTGAGGTTAAAACCTAGCCTACAGCGCCATCTGCTGTTAAAAACTAAGCTCAGAATCGATTCGAGAGAGAATCACAATGCATTCCGTAAATCTCAGAATCGATCCACAAATCGCAATGCATCGATTTATTGTCCCGGCCCTAGCGATGACATCTCAGATCATTATCTAGTCTTGTGTAAACTCCATATAGCTAAAACTGTAAATTCTACTCCTTGTTACAAGTATGGTAGAACCATCACTTCTACCACAAAAGACTGCTTTGTAAGTAATCTTCCTGATTTATCTCAATTCCTCAGCATATCCAATAGCTCAGAAAAACTTGATGTAACAAACTATGGACTCTCTCTTTTCTAACATTTTAGATATGGTTGCTCTTTTATGCCTAAGGAAGATTAAGGAAAACAGTTTGACACCGTGGTGTAATGAGCACACTCACACCCTAAAGAGAGCAGCCCAGAAAATGGAGCGCAGCTGGAGGAAAACAAAACTAGAGGTATTTCGTGTTGCATTGCGGGAAAGTACCCTAACCTACAGAAAAGCCTTAAAAACTGCTAGATCTGATTACTTTGTCTCTTTTAGAAGAAAACAAACATTGATAATCGATACTATTAGAGATAATATTAACCATAACCACTGCACTATAGATCCCCTGAGGAACAATTCCACTCATTCTCTACTATAGGAGAGGAAGAATTTTATAAACTTGTTAAATCATCTAAACCAGTGCTTCCCAAACTGATATGGCCGAGAATGTGTTCCAGCAGCTAATTTGCAGAGTTCGAGCGAGTCGTTTTTATGCAATTCAAATCGATGAGTCCACAGACATCACGGGTATGGTGAATTTGCTCGCATTCGTTAGGTATGAATGTGATGGAGAAATTGAGGAAAACTTTCTTTTTTGCAGACCTCTACATTCAAACGCAACTGCTGAAGCTATTTTTGACATTCTGAACGATTTCATCATTTCCAATGACATCAACTGGACAAAGTGCGTTGGACTCAGCACCGATGGTGCTCGCGCTATGCTGGCCGACACAGTGGAGTGGTGAAGCGAGTCAGAGACGTGGCCCCGCTGCTCACTCACGTACATTGCTGCATTCACAGAGAGGCATTAGCCGCTAAGAGATGCCCATGGA